TCTTCTGATTAGCTTGCTTCTAACAGTATTTCTGTAGCCCATGAAACAGAAAAGACCAACAGCCAATAGATTCCTGTGTACAATACTTTTAAAATGGCTTTCTGTCGTGATGGTCTCTTGTGACGAGCTGATAGGCAGAGAATGGAAGCAGTCTGCTTCCTCCCATATTTGCGCATAGCAGGGGTTGTAACACTAAATACATATATACATACATACATACATACATACATACACACACACACACACATACATATATCGACTCTCCATTTTAAAAGTATTGTACACAGGAATCTATTGGCTGTTGGTCTTTTCTGTTTCATGGGCTACAGAAATACTGTTAGAAGCAAGCTAATCAGAAGAGTATAATTTTTATTAAAATTCTTGATTTAATTAGGGTAGATCCCTAAAACCTGCTCAAGCCAACACAAACTGATAGAAAAAGACAGGGAAAAAATCGATCAGCAAAAGTGCAAGAAGAAAAGGTGAAAAATAGAAGCGAAAGAAAATATTTAGAAAGGGCTTCCTATCTTCATTTTAGCAGCAAAATGTACAATTATAAATTTATCTCTTTCTCTAAAGTTACATCATGACTCTCTTTTTTTCTATAATCCACCCTGCCTCATCATCAAAGCCATTTGTCCCAAGTTCACTTTTTTCATCCCTCAGAGGCTTCCAGTCACCGATAAATATAGATCATAACTTTTAAGTTACCGATTTAAGCAATTTACAATTTGGGGGTCTTCAGTGCTCTGAGCTTGGTTGATTTTTCTGCAGATGTTTCATTACCCAAACAAGATAATATCATCAGTCACCGAGTATTCTTGATTTCAACCCTGAGCTACAAATATTCTTCTCTATCAATTTATGCATTTCAGTGGATTCTGTCATCTTCACCAAGCGTTCCTCCAGAGTGGATAGTGTTAAATCTTTCCATCTTCTGTTGGTTGTTCCTGAGCATCGTTATATATTCACTAAAAGTGCAACCAAGTATAAATAGATCAGGAGTTTGCATCAAGAAATTCAGAAAGATGCTATTCTCGGGGAATCTAAAATAATAACTCAGCAGCTACCGAATAGCTTTCAGTGCTTCTTCCTTCAATCATTCTTCTGTCTCTGACAAATGTTTTAGGCACAGCTGAAGTGGTGGCAGAGCACAAAACCCCAAAGATCAAAGAAAAACACAAGAAAAAAGAACACAAACACAAAAAGGAAAAGGTAATTTTGATGTTTATTTTTAATCTTTTCTCCTCAAAATTCCTATAAGGCATGTTTAAACTGCGCAGGAGTTTTCTTTCTATTTTGTATTCCCTCCCTCCTTGTTTAGAGTCACATATTTGAAATGGGTGGCCATCTACCTTTGAATAATCTATCTATCTATCTATCTATCTATCTATCTATCTATCTATCTATCTATCTATCTATCTATCNTGTGTGTGTGTGTGTGTGTGTGTGTGTGTGTGTGTGTATTCTCAATTCATCCATGAACGTACACTGATGGAGCTGGGTGATCATCCACCTATTTCATTTTATCCATCCTATCAAGAAGGAACCTAAAGAATTTCAGATGTGTGAAGACCTTCTGAAAAAACCTTTCCCTCCCCAGAGGAGGCAATGTTAGCCTCTAAATAGGAGAAGGGTTCTCGTGTAGATGGTAAAGTGCATTTCTCCACCTATTTGGCAATCTCTGTGTTACTAAGGGGAAATTAAATTCCTGCTCCAAATGCCTGTCCTAAAGGAATAATGGGGGTGGGGGTTGCTTTGCCTATTTGGGCAAGGGAGCAAATTTGTGGGAAACCCTAACTCCATTGCATCCAGGGTGGCCTGAATGTTGATTCGAACAGCTTCTCCGACTGCCTGAGCTTAAAAATGGACCCAGCTTCAATTGGCTAATGTCCTGCTTTGAATGAAGATTCCTTGGTTTTATTTAAAGCGCTTCTTTGGGAAACTCTTTCCTGAGGTAAAGCGCTACAGGAAAGAATTGTACTACAAAAAAACAAGGCGCGCACATCCAGGGCTTTACAGCTAAGGCGACCGCTGTATATAGTGCCTTCCTATCCCCCAACTGCCAGGGCGTCTCGGGGGTGGGGGGCGGCTTAGGGAAAACTTCCGCGCCCACCGCCGCCCTCGCCAGGCTGGGGTGACGGGCGAGGCCTCGGGGGCCAAGAGAGGCCAAAAGGCGTCGCCAGCAGATCAAAGAGGAGGCTCCAATCCCCTTATCTACCCCTCCCCACTCCCTCCCTCCCTCCCCGCTGAACGCTGCTCGGCTTCACCGCCCCTCGAGCGCTTGGCGGGGACAGCGTGACGCGGTCGCTTTAAGGATTCCGCCGCTTCGGCAGCCAGCAGCGCCCCGAGCCGCCTCCAGCCCCACGCGCAGGAAGCTGCTCGGGCAGAAGCCAGCGAACGCGGCCGGTTCCCGAGGCGCTCGGGGGGAGCCCCCAAGCATGTCGAAGCATCCCTCCTACGGCAAGAACGGGCTGGCCGACCCCATCTTCCAGGTAAGCGCCCGTTCCGCTTTCCCGGAGTGGGGGGCGCTGGGTCGCCAGGCGCGCAGGCAGGCAGGCGGGCGGATCCGATCGGAGCCGTGAACCGAGCATCCCTCGCCGTCCCCGGAATGGGATCCGGCCCCGTCGCTTTCTAGGCGCCGGTCGATCCTTCCCCTGGCCTGAAATCGGATCGATTTCCTCAGCTTCGTGCTCAAAGAGGGAAGGAAGCTGGAGGATGGGTGGGTGGGGTGTCGGTAAAAAAAGGGGGGATGGCTGGGCGGACTAAGCGTTAATCCGGGGTGGGGTGTCCCGATCTCGGGGCGCGACTTTGCCCACAACTTGCATGCTGAAATGTAGGTTGCCTTCCCTTCTCGCCTTTATTTACGCTCATCGTCGTTTTTTTGTCTCTGCCGCCCGCTCCGCTCCGCCCCGTCGCTGCTGTTGCTCCCGCCCGCCTCCAGGGAAGCCGAGGCACGGCCACCCGGAGGAGCCGATTGAAGCGATCTGATGGCAGCACAACTTCCACCAGTTTCATCCTCCGGCAGGTAAGCCGCCGCGCCGGGGAGAGAAACGGACGCCGGCAGGAAGCCACCCCGCTCGGGGAGGGGGCTGGCACGGGCGCCTGGTGCGCAGCCACCAAACTGTGGCGGCGACCCAGGAAAGTGGATGGCGAAGGCCGGCCTCCTCCTCCCGTGGCCGGTGCTTTTATTCCACCCCACCTTCTTTCATGCCAGTGCTCCCCCCCCCCTCTTTCGGCTGGAGAGGATTGATGTGGGAAGACAGGTTGTTGCCTGCCTTCCCAACCTTCTTTTCCAAATGATGATTTTTTGCTAAAAGAAGAAGTGAAGGGGAGTTTCATCGGGAAAATGATCTCCCCATCTTTTCATTAATAAATGGGTGCACAATGCACAAAAGCTGTGCTTTCTCCATAGGAGGTTGTGTTCTGATCCCGGCATCATTTTTTGAAGAACAAATTCCCTTTGACTGGCATTTGAATGGGCATGATCTGAAAGGAATCACGTTTTGGGGTTGTATGTGGCAGTGGTCAGCTCAAGTACAAGTCCCCCTTCACCTATAGGGGAGCATGGCCTTTTTCAGCTAGGCAATCTGACTTCCATATCAATTTCCATGTTTCAATATATTTATGGGAAGGCTGGCAATTTATTACTGGCAATTCTCTATGGTTGTACTCTAAACAGGCCTTGAGTGGCAGAGACTTTTAATAGTTAGTGAAACCACATTCCCACAATGTTTTTTAGTAATCCGCTGTGGTCGCTGACTTTCTCTCACTTCTACATTCGCTTTTCCCTTGCAGTGATTACATGTGTTTGTAGCAGAAAATTTGAGAGCTAAACTGGTAGTCACTTAGTGGTTTTTAGTTCTATAAACTCAAAATTCTAATATATTTTTTCACCCAGGCCAGATACATGTTTGTACTCTCAACATCTTTTCACTGGCATGTTTGGTCAGATTGAAGAGAAATTTTGATCAGATTGAAGAAAGAAACCAAAATACAATCCTGGTCCTTTTGGCATTTAATCGTGATCAGCATTCAGTTTGGAAATTCTTGATTTCATAATTAACTTTAGCACCTGTGATAAGCTAAAGGGAAAGAGCATCTCTGAACAAATTGAGGGATCATGTTCCTTGACTAGTGAATAACGTCTAACTCATAGACATGAATAGACAAGTCAAATGATATGATGTCCTTTTAGAACTGAAGATTTAGTTCTAAGTGCAGCTGATGATTGGCTTAATTTGGAAAATAAAAGTAACAATTCTGTCTAACATGATTTGTAAGTATAAATCTGTAATCTTACAAAGTAATACATTTACTATGGTTTTGGTTGATGATATTTTTTTTCCCAAGATGAGGGACAGATCCCTTGGTCTTCTGTGGATAGTTATTTTGAAGCCACGAGGCACTGTCTTCATCTACTAAATCTTAAATTGGAAACACTGATTAAAATCTAGTTTTAGAGACAAGAAAGATATATTTAGCTCTAAGGATGTACAAGAATTATTGACAGGAGTTGTAGCTAGAAAAAAAGTTTGGTTCTATGTAAATTATTGGATGACAGAAATAAGATACATGTCTTTACCCAAGTGAGAGAAATTAGTCTGGGCCCTTATATAGGATAGTTGTAGCATTTCCCACCTATACTACAGACATTGTGGATTTCTGGTTTCTTAACTCTTTCAGTGCCTATTTTGCATGCTGCCACCCAAGAGCTTCCAGTTACTTTTAGCAGTTCCCTTCTTGGATTTTTCATGCAGTGATAGAACATGTTAGATGTCCTGAATTGAACTAGGTCACATCCTGTTAGCTCTTTTCAGTGATGCACTGAATAATATATTTAGACCTGCACCCAGGAGATTTCTTTGTTACTGCTTTGTGTTCCACAAATGTCTCTGAACACCTTCATGGGTAGCAAACCTGAGTGGGTGCATTTCTGTGTCGAATATGTGCATTCTTGCCTGCCTCAGTGATTAATACTCTGAGCTCTATAGAGCTTTTCTATTAAACAGCAGTTCCCCAATCTCACTTGGCAATCCACTTTTGAGATTGAAAGATGTTTCAGAAAAGGTTAGGGAATATTAATGTAGGTCAAATGAAACAAGTAAATTCTCTCCCGGGCATGCTTAATCTCTTGCATAAAATAGATATTCTTTGGAACAAATACCAGAGTGTGCCTGTGTGTGTGTGCTTTTGATACAAGAGTTAATTTTCCATAGTGTACCTAGTCTAAGTTTAAAGAAACTTTTAGGGATTTAAATTGTTTTATATAGGAGAGCATGGTTCTGGAATGTTTTTACTGGTATAATACTGCCATGTATACCATATGTTAGAAATCATGTTATTTTCAAAGGAACTTACTTCTAGATAATTATGGATGTCTTCATAGAAAGAACAGAGCACAATAACTGGTTGCTTGGTACCTACAGTACAGTTCCTCATTGTCCTGGGCAGTTGAAGATTGGGATGAGGGGTTTCCCAGATGCTTTTGCTAAACTCCATCTGAAATAACCTGATGGATAGGAGGAGAGTTCCCAGTAAAAACTGGTTTACTGAGCATGCCTTCCATCCTCCCTATCCATCAATTGACACTTTCTTGTTTGGAGACAACACTCTTCAGAATCTTCTTCTCTGAAGTGCTGTTCAGAGGAGTGCTTACTGTGAACCCCTGCTTTAATTTTGTGTTTCTTGCTGATTGATGGCATCAAAAAAGGGGAAGGTAACAAAGCTGGAAGGTTTAACGAATGGCTTTGCATAACATGTACAGCATCCAAAATCAAGATACTGCCAACTTTTAGCAAATAGAAGCAAAGGCAGAATAGGGATCAAGAATGAGAACAGGCCATTCAATTCCTACCCAAGATGGTGGGAGAATAAGATCTTTCTCTGTGCTCTGTTTCAATCATGACCTGTGAGGGCAAGGCAGGGAATCTGATGGAAGCTGTTGTGCAGTGGGCTTGTGTCTCCTCCAAAGAGTTTTCTAAACAATCTCAGGAGTAAAAGTGAGCAAGTCCTTTCTGGGGTGTGTGAACTAATAGAATAGAATAGAATTATTTATTGGCCAAATGTGATTGGACACACAAGGAATTTGTCTCTAGTGCATGTGCTCTCAGTGTGCAGCAGCTTCCAT